AACATCGGGAACGAACTTACCCGCTATCTTGCGGATACGCTTCCAGATTTGTTGCAGGGGAGTTTCGGACATAATTGTGAAGACATAAGATGCCCAACATTCACGTTTAGCTGTACGGATGGCCCTACGAGCCACCGCACTCGCTTTCCGAAAGAAAAGAAAAGAATCGGCCGTCTGCCGATGGCGGTGCCTCTTCCAGGCTGCCGCTTACAGTGGACAGCCCGAGCACAGTCTGCATTCCACCTGGGAATGCACTTCTGTGGACCCCCCCCCCGAGAGGAAGAGCGAGGAATAGAGCGGAGGGCAGCGTCGAAGACAGTGTCATGAAAAAGGTGGAGAGTACGAGGGAGAGGCAGAAGGTGGAGGTCAGAGAGAGAGCAGCACCGAGAGTAAATAGGTTCCAGTTCGCTTTAGCAAACTGCCACCTAAGGAAGGAGAGGGAAGAATGAAAAGAGAAAAAGGAAACAAGGATGGGGAAATGGTCACTGCCATAGAGGTCATCAAGAACCTGTCACGTGAAGTCTAAGTAAAGAGACGAAGAGCAAATAGAAAGATCAAGACAGGAAAGGGTGCGAGTCCGAGAGTCCAAATGAGTGGGCTCACCAGAATTCAGAAGAGACAGGGAAGAAGAGAGGATAAACGGCTCAAGAAGGCGACCTCGGGTATTCGTCAGAACATCACCCCAAAGAGAATGACGACAATTGAAATCACCCAGCAGGAGCACAGGTACCGGCAAGGAGTCCAGGAGGTGTTTCAGATCAGGAAGAGAAAGCGGGACACTCGAGGGAAGATAAATGGAACAAACTGTGTATCATTTCCCCACAAAGATACGAACAGCAGAACAATAGAAAGGCAAAGGAAAAAGTAAGGGGACAAAGGGAACATCAGAGCAAATCAAGAGAGCAGAAGAATTAGGAGCCTTGTTGCTGGGAGGGGGGGGGGGGAAGAGAAAGGAATAGCCACGAAAACGACCAAGACGAGCACCAAGCATCGGCTCTTGGAGACAGACACAAAGGGCGAAAACCGCGAAATCAGAAGTTGGAGTTCGAGGAAATTGGCGTAATAATCTCGAACGTTCCATTGAAGAATAGACATCGATGAGAAGAGAAAGGACAACAACATAGAACAAGGAAGAAACAAAGGCGAAAGAGCAACAGAGCACGTTAAAGAATATCAGGGTCGGGATCAGGGTCAGCAAAGTCAGGGTTAGGGGGCATGGGTAAACTGAGCAAAGACGGAGGAAAGGAAGCGGGAGAACAGACCAGAGGTGGACAGGCGGGGTCCGGAAGAGGAGACAACGGAGAGGAGCAGTCAAAGACAGCAGCAGGAAGAGGGGGAGTAGAAAGAGGGGAGCGCACCTCAGCAAGGGCAGCAATCGAGAGGGAAGCAGGGGCCAAAGAAACCTCCATAGCAGGAACAGGGGGCGCAACGACCAAAATGGGAGGGGGAGGAGCGATAATGGCAGAAGTAGGGGCCGAGGAAGAAAGCGAAACCTTCTTACCCACCGGGGAGGAGGAAGGAGAGGAGCCAGGCTTACGCTTGACTTAAAGAGACAGGTGTCCCAGCAACTACGTACTGGGCAACGGATTCTAGCGTCTCAACAGAAGCTAAACGAGAGCACACACGACGGCCGTTTGGAGAGCGATGGACATCAGCCCGCACCGACAGGCGGTGGGGAGAGTCAAGAGACGGAGGGGAAGGAGGAACGGAGGGAGACAAGGAAGACGACACAGGAGACAAGGAAGAAGACACAGGAGACAAGACAGACCAGGCAGAAAGAAGGGGAACCCCAGACAGAGGACCAGGAGGTGGATTCTTCGGGACAGAACTCAAAGGAACAGAGGAGGGGGGCAGTGGGCGTATCAGGGTCCAAGACCCGGAAACGGTTGTGAGTCTGAGGAAGGTGGGAAGGTCGAGGAGAGGAAGAGCACAACTCGCGAGCATAAGAGATATTTGCATAAAGCGGGAGCCGGCGATCCTAGCGCCTTGCCTCAGGAAAAGATAAACTCTCCCGGTGCTTCAAGGTGAGGACGGCTGCCTCAAGCTTGTAATGGACGGACACACACACGGGAGAAGGTAGGATGGGCCTCACCACAGTTGAGGCAACGAGCCCGGGGAGAAGTGCACTCTGACTTAGAGCGACCTTCGTCACCACACAAAGGACAGAGAGAGAGTCCCAGAGCAGCGGAGGGCACCATGCCCAAACCTCCAGCACTTGTTACAGAGCCTAGGAGAAGGAATGTACTCCTGGACAGAGCACCTGACACCAGCAAGAATGACAAAGGGTGGAAGGGTCCTACTATCAAAGGTAATCTTCACAACCCGAAGGGGTTGATGGCGACTACCACGAGGGAGACGAGTAAACGTGTCCACCTGGAGAATAGAATGGCCCTGGATATCAAGGATATGTCGAATATCGTCGTGGTAGTCTCGCAGATCCCGAACACCGGTCGCAACATGGGGCGGGAGGAGAATAGTGTCAACACTGGCATTCAACTGAGCGTTCTTCGAGACCCGAACAGGGGTCTCGCCAAGGCAGGATAAGGCAGCCAAGTGGGAAGCTGCATCCTGAGAAGGAGCAGCAATGACACGTGTACTGAGACGAGTGGGGTTGAAGGTAACAAGAGGCATCCACGGAATCAACGAGATGTCGATGGAGGGAGAAATCGTCAGGAGGCTCAGAATCAAGAGGGAGGAGATCAAAGTATTTGGCTCACTTAGTGGGACCAAACAAGGCTTGACAGGTATCAGAACGGGAAGGAATCGAGCGAGGGCGGCCGTGACGAGGACGGCGTTGAGAACCCCCAGAGAGAGGGGTTAAAAGGCGCAGTAGTTACAACTAGAGATGGAGCCGTGCCAGGGGACGAGGTAGTCACCACTGGAGGCTTGGGCCTTAACCCAACCACAGAGGAGGGAGGGGAGCTGAGGGGAGGAGTCAGAGAGGCCAAAGGAGGAGCAAGGTCGGGGCACAATGCAGCGGAGGCTACAGAGCCCGGTCTTCCAACACTGACCAACTCGGGAGCTTGGTCGCGCACCCCACGAGCCTGAGAAGGTAAAGGAGAAACAGTAGAAACAGTATACACCATCGCTACGAAAAGATAACATTCATTCACGAATGTGCCCCCACACCCACCATGGAGCCACAATTAGAGGCAGGACACCCAACAAGAAGCTATCGCCGATCATGCCGGGGCCTCCTAGGGGTGCATCGTGAGTATACGCCCCATAAACACCACCTTAAGAACCGATAGTCTGTCGAGATCAGGTTCAGTGACGAAAGGGGGATTGACAATAATAGGTTCCCCTCGCTCTCGCCGTTGGGTACTACAGTTCTATGGGTGCAAGAGTATGCCTCCTCAAGCACCTGGGCGTCAAAATAGAAGTCCAAAGGAATAACCAAAACAAGCAAAAGGTCGGCAGAAAACGGCAAGCAGATAGGAGAAGGGGGGGGGGGGGAGAAAAACGAAACAGAAGGAAAAGGAAAAGTTGCTCAGCACAAATGGAGAGGACGGCAGCAGGAGCACAAGGCTACAAAAAAACAGAGGACTGTCCCAAGGAGCATCACACTTCGGCAGCCGCCCACCAAGCCCCCATTTCCGTTTTCTCTAATAGGCACATGGCATATTTGGGAGAACGGCATTGTATTGTAACTTAGTGGAAAGACTATTGTATTGTTGACACGGCGAGTGTAATCGCGCACTTCACACACTCTTGGTGTGGGCCGCGATCATGATTCTACATTTTTATGCATATGTCCGTATAGGGAATTTAAAGGAACGTCCAGTCCATATCGCCGCGCGCGTTAAAGTGTTTTATTAATTAAATTAAGTTTTAGTCTAAGTTTTCCCCCACAGCTTTTCCGATACGCTGTGCATATTAGTGGCTTCAGGCATTATATGTACTAGTTCTATCTAGAAATCCAACAATATGTAACTCATGTTCAATGTATGTATCTTTACCTGAATAAACATTTTATCTTATTCTTTCTTACGGGCTCACCATAGCCTGTGCTACATGAACATTTCGTTCTGAGAACAACTTTACAACTGGCTTTGTTCTCGATCACAATCGGGGGATCCCGAGTTTAATTCCCAAGCAGGACAGAATTGGTTGGGAACATTTCCTTTTATATAATGCCTCCGTTCCCTTAGCAGTAAATAGGTACCCGGGAATTAGTCCCGGGTAACTATTTACCTATTACAGTATATATACACATATGCTTTATTCAAAAGTAAAATAAAAAAGTATCTAATTTCATCCTCATAATTCCGACCCCTTGTGCTTCAAACTCACACACTGAGTGAGTTTGAAGCACTACCCACTCACCCAATTTTAATTCTTAAGACATGTACCTTCACCAGTGTAATTAATGCCATCTATTTATATTCTAGTCATTGCGTTGAACTCAAATCTTGCTACAATGTACTTTTAAAATACGCTTACTTTATTTGCTAGATTAAGGACATGCCTGAAACACTGAGTATTTTGTGGTTTTTCAAGAATGTATGAACACCAATGTTACGTACTCTCACAGCCCAATGTACCTTCTTGTATATAAATAAGTAAATAAATACATAAATAAATAACAAAATAAAATAAAATAAGACAAGTTGCTCTTGGTCTCGACAAAAATAATATTATAATAGTTAGTCACAAGTATTGTTTTCTGTGATTTCTTTAGAGTACAATTACATTTTCTTTAAACGTACTATGGCAAACCAAACTAAACAGTTTTAAGAGTTTTACATTGGTTAACATATAAAATAATTCCCGTTGTCGGGGACAGGAAGCCTGTATGATAACTTTCAACACTGTTACATGCTCAAACGAACTAGAAAAGCCCATATGTATCAAAATAATATCCATAGCATAGATAAAACAGAGTCCCTTGAGAACTGAGAATTCTGCAAACACCCTAATTCAGTACTGAACTCGTTTAGACATTGATATACATTAACATATATACAAAATCCAAAGGTCGGAATGCACAGAGTACTTACTTATTAAAGATTTCTTCACAGTGTGACCCTCCCTAACAAGTGATTACAGAAACGCTATCCTGTATCAGCTGTCATAATGACGGCGCAATGTTCGTCGTACGAAAATAATGAGAATGTTGTACAAGGAAAGATGTCGCTATCTCGAACCCATTGATGATGACTTATATTGAATTTTGCAACTAGTTCACCAAGATTGTAACTTGCTTAGCTAAATGAATTGTGGGGTTCAGTCCCTGAGCCCATTATGTGCCTCTGTAACCCTTTCCACTACCGCCCACAAGATGGGTATGGGGTGCATAATAAATGAACTGAACTAAACTGGCGTGGCTGCTCGTGCGGTACCGCCACGTCTCCTAAAGCGCGTTGGAACTTTTATTTAAATCAAATCAAATGTTTATTCAGGTAAAAATACATACATAGAAGATTAGTTACAAACATAATGTTAGATTTAAAGATAGAGCTAGTACATACAATACCTAAAGTCACTAATGTGCACACCATTTCGGGCTTTGTTTCCGGGTTGCATTTTTGTTGTTGTCCGTTTTGGATTGATTTTTGTTGCCATTTTGGAATTTTATCTTGGGCCCTTTGTTTTTTGTTTTTAAGAAGCTTGGGTATACAAATATCATACATAACACAGCGATGTGCTGTTACCCGATTCTATATGAAAGATTACAAAGTAATCAAACTACGCGTACTAGTGGCTGTACAAGAATGTAACAACTCTTGTATATATCTAAAAAAAAAGTGCAGATAAATAACTAGCTATAAATTCATCTAATATCCCCATCTCACAGGATCGTTAGTCATACATGGAATCAGAAGAGAACATATAATACGAGGCTGATCTGCTAGCCTCCACTAGCAAAATCTGGCTACAGCACAAGAATATATTTATTTATTTATTTATTTATTTTTATTTATTTATATATACAAGAGTTCTTACATTCTTGTACAACCACTAGTACGCGTAGCATTCGGACAAGTACTCACCCACCTAATTGTGCTTGGGGGGGTTGAGCTTTGGCTCTATGGTCCCGCCTCTCAGCCGTCAATCAACTGGTGTACATATTCCTGAGCCTACTGGGCTCTATCATATCTACATTTGAAACTGTATATGGAGTCAGCCTCCACCACATCACTTCCTAGTGCATTCCATTTATTAACTACTCTGACACTGAAAAAATTCTTTCTAACGTCTCTGTGGCTCATCTGGGTACTAAGTTTCCACCTGTGCCCCCTTGTTCGTGTCCCACCCGTGCTGAAGAGTTTGTCTTTGTCCACCCTGTCAATTCCCCTGAGAATTTTGTAGGTGGTTATCATGTCTCCCCTTACTCTTCTGTTTTCCAAGGATGTGAGGTTCAGCTCCTTTAGCCTTTCCTCGTAGCTCAATCCTCTCAGTTCCGGGACGAGCCTGGTGGCATACCGCTGAATCTTCTCTAACTTTGTCTTGTGTTTAACTAGGTATGGACTCCAGGCTGGAGCTGCATACTCCAGGATTGGTCTTACATAAGTGGTATACAGGGTTCTGAAAGATTCCTTACACAAGTTTCTGAAGGCAGTTCTTATGTTGGCCAGTCTAGCATATGCCGCTGATGATATTCTTTTGATGTGAAGCCCTTAATCATAGGTGCGTGGAATACGACCCCCGCGAAAAATCGTTTAACAATCAAGTGCCCATTATGCCGTTGAGTTAAACAGAGGCTACAGTTAAGGATTTGCGCCCAGTAAATCCTCCCTGGCCACAATACGAACCCAGTACAAAATTCTATATTTCGTGACTGTAATTCCTGATAATAGTGCTATTATCTACTCCCTATCCATGGTTAGGATAGGATAAGGTTATATTAGGTTTTATTACATTTGATTACATTAATAAGTGTATTATTCTCAAACGTGAAATATGCAATTCGAAAACTATTTGAGTATCCCCTAGAATTTGATTTACAGAAAATGAAATTCTTCAGACAGTTTCAAAGAAGTGTTAGGTATAGAATTTTTCTATTTTAGAACACAGAATTATAATACAGAACAATAAAGTTATAAGTTGAGAATATTCTCTGTTTAGAACAAAGGTTCACTTGCCAGTTTACAAACTATTATTAGAACCGTAATACGCTTTCAGACCACTACAAATATCTAGATAACTATCCAGTTGGTGTGAGAATGGGTTTGGTGTCTCTTGGTAATCACTTTGGGGGGTAGAAATAGCCTAAGTTACTCTATCCTTTTGAGATGTATTTTTTTTCTTTTATCAATAAACTTACTTGAACTTGAACTTGGTAATCACATTTGCAAACAGTTAAGGAAATATTAACCATGGGGATCTGTCCAAGATTTGAGGGCTCTTCAAGAAACTTTAGGACCAGAAGATAGGTATTCCGTAGAGCGTGTCCAAGTCACCTGTTGACAGTTGAACAGTGCCATCAGTGTATATATAGTGTTAATGTGCCTGTAAATGAGTTAGAAAATGAGACACTATGTCAAGTGGTGTTACTTTGAACTGCACTCTGGTTTAATTACTTTTTAGTGATGGACGTGTATGGCGGAGTATTACAGGGTGCAGATAGAGCGGAATTTCATTAGCCTGGTATCCAGTACGAGACACGCAATAGAGATATTCAATTTTATGAAGTTGGCAGCACTTCTATATATCCAGTTTGTATAAAGGCTGCGTGTTGGTGGTAGTGATGGTACTAGTGGTATGAGTAGTGGTAGTAACAGTTGCATGAAGTGGTAGTGGTAGTAGTAGTTGCATAGTAGTAGTAGTAGTAGTAGATCTCATTTATCCAGACATGACCTTTTATATATAATTTACACCAGTGCCAGAGAGAGAAGTTAAAGGTTACATGCACTCTCTTTCTCTTCTTCTCTCTCTCTCTCTTTCTTTCTTATTTTTTACGGACCCTGAAGTCTGAATCTCAAGACGCAATCAGAACGCGGCCTTATTATCTCTCAGTTACGTCACAACATTGTTGTTGTTCCCATTGGCAGTTACAATAACCTTTGGAATGTAACCATCATTAAAACTAACGGGAGAGGGGGGGAAGGGGGGTTGTGCGGTAATCACCTGGTAGTGGTGGTCGTGGGAATGGAGTGGTTGGAGGCGGGTGGATGGGGACGGGCTAGTGGGATGACTAGGGGGTGGGGGGGGGTTAGAGGGGGAAATCATTAATGTAACCCAACACCGGGCAGCCACCTTATTAGGGCCGTACCCCGGGGGCGGCCGCCCCCTTTGTGGGATTCCTGGCGCAGTTTATTGAATATTCTACATTCTTGAATAATTCTTCATGTTTTCATGTCTCTTTATTAGCTTGGATTAAATCTCCAAGACAGTTTCTATATTCATTACTGGCTGGATAACAAGGTGCAAATTTATCATTTAATATTTCATGTTCTGTGGCTTAATCCTGGAGTAGATGAAATAGTTGACTACATAACCCGAATGTGAACAGCAGAAACACACTTAAACATTATGCAATAATAAACACAAATTCGTCCTTCACTTATGGAAGAGGAAAGCCTACATGGAAGGACTCAATTTACATAAGACTAAGAGTAGGATACAAATATTTCTGGCAATAAAAGGTGTTGATGTTAGTGAAAAAGATAAGGAGTGTAAATTATGTAGTATGCCGCACGCCCACACCTTAGAACATTATGTATTAGAGTGTCAACTTAGTGATAACTATAGAAATAAGGAAATAAGTAGTGTACCACATCAAATTGTTTTCAAGTATGATAATGGTATGATAGAATACTTAGGAGCTACAAGCACCCAAGAGTGTAACACTTATACGCTGTGTGTACTATCTTAACCTGCAATGTTAAAGTTTCAATTAAATGTGTACAGTTTCAAGTTAAATGTGATTCTTGTACTGTGATTTGTGCTTTTGTCCTCACTGGATTTATCCGCCCCTTGAGGGACTTGAAGCAAAGGAGGGTAGAAATAGCCTAAACTACTCTATCCCTTTGAGATGTATTTTGTTCTCAATAAATATACTTGAACTTGAATCATTTGAAATATCAAATGATAAACCTACATCTTGTTATCCAGCCAGTAATGAATATAGAAACTGTCTTGGAGATTTAATCCAAGCTAATAAAGAGAGAGGAAAACATGAAGGATTATTCAAGATAAATTATTAATTTTCATAGTTGAAAAGTTCAATGTAATCAAAATTTAGAGTTTAATGAAATAAGATATTTTGTGTTTATTTTCATTCAAAGTTCCTTTGTTTGTATTTGGTCAATAATTTATCATTAGAATAGGCTACTTTATTCTCTCTTGAAGCCATTGAAGCCTAACGCACTGTATTTCAGTTTTAAGCTCCCATATACATAGAGAGAGAGAGAGAGAGAGAGAGAGAGAGAGAGAGAGAGAGAGAGAGAGAGAGAGAGAGAGAGAGAGAGAGAGAGAGAGAGAGAGAGAGAGAGAGAGAGAGAGAGAGAGAGAGAGAGAGATGGGTAGCCAGCGCACACAGCAACGCCTCCGAGAGAAGTGAATTATTTACATTTCACAAAAAATGCCACAAATTTGTTACTACACAACAATTTAAATTAATACCCTACAAGATCATCCAATTAAAAACCTTAATTAGTGCAGAATTCACTTATTTTTGCATTGTTTGACGTCATTAGTGTAATTTTCATTTTGATATCAAAGTCACTATGACAACTCAATTTACACTCGGTACACAAATTACATAACAAATTGCCGGTGTTGTTATGTGAGGCTACGAGTGAAATTAACTTGATTTGATTTGGATAATATGCATATTTAAGCTGTGGAATAATTGAAGGCAAATAGAATATACTGATGTGGCCATTCACGGCCGTTATTCAATTGTTTTTACATCCGTATAAATTAAATTGAACCTAGAATGTTAATCATAAGATATAATTGAATAGTTTTCTCTCTCTTTTTTTTTAGGATGGGGAATACTACCCTTCCACACTGATGGGGCGGGTACACGACCCTCCCACACTGATGGGGCGGGTGCACGACCCTTCCACACTGATGGGGCGGGTACACGACCCTTCCACACTGATGGGGCGGGTACACGACCCTCCCACACTGATGGGGCGGGTGCACGACCCTTCCACACTGATGGGGCGGGTGCACGACCCTTCCACACTGATGGGGCGGGTGCAC